CGGCCTCCTAAGGTGACTAGAGGTCAGGACAGGGAAAGCCACGTGTCCCTGGTTCCCCTTCTTTGGGCCTCTCATGGGGGGGCTCCTGGCTGATGGGAGCCAAGGACCCATGGCAGCACAGACAGCTAGAACTCTGGGAGTTCCAGGACTGCTGGGTGGGAACATGGAGTTGGGGATGGCTGAGAGAAGACAAGAGGAAGGCTTGCGATTTTGCCTGCACGTAACCATTACCTTTGGCCTCCAGGACCCACTGCTTGGAGGTGACTCTAGTAATGGTCAAGCCGTGGTAAGGATGCATGGCCCTGCCCTCAGCAGTGCAAGATTGGCCTGGTGAGAACAGTCAGCTACTGAACCATCAAGACATGGTGGAACATAACCTCCCTGCCATCCTGCATGCCCCACTGCCAGTTCATCCCTCCCCACCCCCACCACAGTCTTTTAGTTCTATAACCATTGGAGCGCCCCAACTCTCTGCTTTGCCTGAAATGGCCCATGTTTCAGCTGTACCTGCTTCCTCTAAGCATGTTTGTTTTTTCTGTGTTAGGCTGGACTCAGCTTTGAGAGTAAAAGAGGCCATTTCTTTTTTTGCTTGGGGTGCCCTGCCTCAGAGGCCATCAGTTCTAGGGGGCTTTGGGCATTGCTGAGGTTTCTTTGGGGGACAGTTGCTGGCATGAGTACAGCAGGTTCTTCTGTGTGGATGTCTCATGGAAATGGCTCGGAACTAGAGTTGAGGTTTCCTGGGATTTCTAGGTGTCACTCACCCACTCTGTGATCTTGGGCAAGGAAGTACCCTTCCCTCTTGGCCCCAGTTTTCTCGGAGAGGGGATGGCCCCCATGTTTCTAGGGTGTGCACATACAGAGGGGTAATCTTATCCACATCCCATGTGAACAGGGCATGGTCTCTCCAAGAAAAGATGAGTTTTGCTTCTGATGACTCTTCCTCAGCTTTCCTTTTTGTGCCTCTTTTTCTTCCTTGTCCCTCTGTCCCCATTCCCCTCCATTGGGGTATCCTGCCCTCTTCCCACCCTTTCCCCTCAGGCGGGGCCTTGAGGCAGGACCACTGGGGCCAGGATTCTCCTCTGTTCAAATTCTGTGCTGCTGGAGCTGACCTCCTGGGTGCAGACCCCTCCAGAGGGATCTTCTGGAGACCACACCCCCTCAAATACATGGAGGGACTCTCACGGTGACACTTGCTGGCAGGCTGGCGATGGAGTAGTGTTTGGGAAGCAGCAGCCTGGGCTGTGTCCTCCCACTAATCCCAGCCGGGGCCGTCACAGCCTTTGTGTTCGGGAGCTGGTGCCTATTTGTTCCTGGTTGAAAAGACTTCCTGCAGAGTTCACCCCGCCACCAATCTCCCAGCTTTCCCCACCCCTCAAGTACCCGGGTCCATCTGCTGAGCCTCACAGTCCAGGGGCGTGTGAAGGGTTTGAACAGGGAGATTCTCCTCCCATTTCCCAAGTGTCTGTGATATAGGCCCTTTCTCTGAAGCAGGGACACCAGCCCCCAGAACAGCCAGGCCTCAGGGCCCTGTCCAGACAGGTGGCCTGGGGCCTGTCCCAAAGGCCTGGAGCCCCAGCCCCTCAGCCTTTGACAGAGGTTTCATAAGGTCCAAGGCCAGCCTATAGCTCTCAGAGGCAGGTTCCAGCTTCCTTCAGTCCTGGGCCCTCAGATTTGTCTGCAGGAACCTTGGATCTCGTTCTCTCTCAACCCATGCCCTTTGCCAAGATCAGGGCTCTTTGGAATTTATTCTTTTGGCAGGAGGGCTCCCTTTGATGACTGTGTCAAGTAAGATGGAATCTGGCCAGGTTGTTATAGGAACTCAGGAGAATCCCTGGAGTGGGAAAAATAATGAGAACACGGGGCCATTCACCATTCAGCGTTGGAAAGTAGAGCATTCATTGTCCAGGTCCGGAGGGGCAGGCTTAGGGGTGGGAGCCTCGCTGCATCACTAGGAGGCTTTGGTGGTATTGAGGGGGTGTGTGGTGGGGTGTGCAGAGTGAGGGTCTGACTAAACTTGGTTCAAATACTAAATCACCCACTTACTATTTGTGTGACCTTAAGCAAGTTAAAACAAATAACACAATCCAATTTTGTTGATTAAATGTATTATGTCTAGAAGGAAAATCATCCTCACTTTTGGAGTTGTTATCTTAGGGATATATGTACAGATTTAAGATTACTTTTTGTACTTTTCCACTTTTTTTCCTGATATTTTCTTTAAACAGCATGAATTACTTGTACAATGGGGAAAAAAAATAAAAGCAACCACAAAGCTATCTCCACTTTGGAAATGAACAGTATCCAGGAAGGGGCTCTTTAGAATCTAGGAGCTGCTAGACCCTTCCATATTTGGAAGGGGAGGGACAGTACTTTTCAGACTTCAGGCCATTCCAAGTAAGAAAAGTGTTCCTGGCCCCCTGGCTGCCTACGCTTCTGTCTTGGGCCAGGCCTGGCTTAGACCAATGCTGGCCACCACAGCGTTTCACATGTGGGTGCTTCACATGCAGGCCTGCGGGGTCGAGGGTGGCCTCGCTGGTTTGTCTGTGTTGGCAGTTATTCATGCTGCCATGGTACAGGAGGTAGCTGTTCATTTCCCACTCTGGCAGCCAGTTCAGAAAACCCTGTCTGCCCTACTGAGGGCCCTTCCTGAGGCTACAACCTTCCTTTAGACTCAGGGGTTTATGTTGAGGTCTGTGCACTCCTGTGCCTAGCGAGTCTCATCTCTCCATCAAAAGGGGAACACGGCAGCTTCACTGGGTTTCTTCCCCCATGCTGGGCTTCCTTAGTGTCTGGGTCCCTCATCTGGACCTTGACATGAGCTTCCTTCTGTCACTGTTGTCTGTTTATTGTTTTTTTGCTGCTGTTGTTTATTTATTTATTTATTTTTGAGACAGTGTCACTCTGTCGCCCAAGCTGGAGTGTAGTGGTGCGATCTCAGCTCACTGCAACCTTTGCCTCCCAGGTTCAAACGACTCTCGTGTCTTAGCTTCCTGAGTAGCTGGGACTACAGGCGCCCACCACTATATCCAGCTAATTTTTTTTGTATTTTTAGTAGAGATGGGGGTTTTGTCTCAAACTCCTGGCTTCAAGTGATCTACCTGCTTGGCCTCCCAAAGTGCTGGGATTACAGGTGTGGGCCACCGCACCTGGCCTGTTGTTTTTTGAGATTGGGTCTCATTCTGTCACCCAGGCTGGAGTGTGGTGGTGCAGTCATGCCTCACTGTAGCCTCAACCTCCCAGGTTCAATCAATCCTCCCATCTCAGCCTCCTCAGTAGCTGGGACTACAGGCACTCAACACCATGCCTGGCAAAATTTTTTTTTTTTCCTGAGATGGAGTCTTGCTCTGTCGTCCAGGCTGGAGTGCAGTGGTGTGATCTCAGCTCACTGCAGCCTCTACCTCCCAGGTTCAAGTGATTTTCCTGCCTCAGTCTCCTGAGTAGTTGGGACTGCAGGTGGGCGCCACCATGCCCGGCTAATTTTTGTATTTTTAGTAGAGACGGGGTTTCATCATGTTGGTCAGGCTGGTCTTCAACTCCTGACCTTGGGATCCACCCACCTTGGCCTCTCAAAGTGCTGATATATAGGCATGAGCCACCGTGCCCGGCCCATAGTTTACTTTTTAACTACTGCATAATAGTTATTGTGTGCATATATTGCTGTTTACTTATCCATTGTACAATGAATTATTTGCAGTTTGGGGCTATATAAATGCTGCTGCTATGAACATTCTTACACAACTCTTTTGGTGGGGACAAAGGCTACCTTCTGTCACTGTTACTGTCTCTTTAGCTTTTAGACTTAAAAAATCATACAGTTTTATCCTTTTTTTCTCTTTCTCCCCATCAGTTACTGTTGCCATATGTACTTTAGTAGGTAAATCTCTGCCAGTGTTTTTAAAATGTTGAAAAGAAATTATATAAGTGCTACTTAAATACGTTCTCCTGGCCGGGCACAGTGGCTCATGTCTGTAATCTCAGCACTTTGGATCGCTTGAGCCCAGGAGTTTGAGACCAGCCTGAGCAACAAGGCAAAACCCCGTCTCTACAAAAAATAAATTAGCCAGGTGCAGTGGCGCATGTCTATAATCCCAGCTACTTGGGAAGCTGAGGTGGGAGGATCACTTGAGCCTGGGCTGTTGAGGCTGCAGTGTGCTGAGATCATGCCACTGCACTCCAGCCTGGGTGACAAAATAAGACCTTGTCTCAAAAAAAGAAAGGAAAAAACCCTCCTTATAAAAGATTTCTTTTTTTTTTTTTTTCTTTTTTTTAGACTGAGTCTTACAGTGTCCCCCAGGCTCACTGCAACCCCCGCCTCCTGGGTTCAAGTGATTCTCCTGCCTCAGCCTCCTGAATAGCTGGGCGTATAGGCATGTACCACCATGTCCAGCTAATTTTTGTATTTTTAGTAGAGACGGGGTTTCACCATGTTGGTTAGGCTTGTCTCGAACTCCTGGCCTCATAATGAGCCCGCCTTGGCCTCCCAAAGTGCTGAGATTACGGGTGTGAGCCACCGCTCCCGGCCTAAAAGCTTTCAACATTACATTAAGATTAAAGTTCCTTGTGACACCCCTTACCAAGTCTTGGCCCTTTCCTCCTACCCCGAGGTAACCCCAGCCACCAGTTTGGTTGTTCTCCTTTTAGGGCTTTTCTGATACATCGACATATATAAATGTTCACATAGGAAATATTATTTGATACATGTGTATTGTTTATTTGGTACAACAAACAGCATCATACTGCTTGGCCATTTGCTTTTTCACTCGACAAAATATCTTGGGGAGATGACCATGGGAGCACACGTAGCTCTACTTCATTTTTTAAACTGCCAAGTAAGAACATTTAGGTGGTATTTCTTTATGATTTTGTGTGTGTCCCATGAACTGAGGGCAGGCCCAAAGCCTTGCGCTGGCAGTATTTGATACTGATGTAATCCCACAAAAGAAAAATTTGCAGGAGCCCCTGATCTGTGCCCCTCAATGTCTCTTTTCTTTCTTCTGCAGAGACGTCTCAGAGAGGCTGTGCAGCTGCTGGAGGACTATAAGCACGGGACTCTGCGCCCAGGAGTCACCAATGAACAGGTAACTGTGTGGGAGGTGGGAGCATGGCCAGTGGGGAAGGGAAGGAAAGTGAGAAATTCACAACCCCTTCCCTGCAGCCAGAACCACTTCTTTCCTGTATCTACTTCTGCTGGTATATACCCCTGTGGACTAAAAGCTCTTTGAAGATGCTCAGATCTCTCCTGTGCTCTAGGTCCAGTGGAAAGCATGGAGGCCGACAAGGCTAGGGTGGTCCAAAGGCAGTGGCTTGGTGAAGCCAGCCTGCACTGGCTTGCAAGAGCTGATTGTGGGCATTTCTTCCCAGTTCCACGATCACGGACCACGCAGTGGGAAATCAGCCATGATGGGAGTATTTACATCATAGACGTTGGCAAATGCTACAAATCAGGACTTTTTCTCCAGAGAATGGATTATTAAATGTTTACCAGCATACCGCTGTTCAAAAATTCAGGTTAAGGGTGGGAAAGATGGGGAGGATGTTGAGGATTAGGATTAGGATACTGTTGTTTTATTCTTTCTTAATATCGTGTAGGAACTCGCATTAGAGATACCTGAAATGTTGAAGGTGGTGTTTTGTTTTGGAGAGGGTAAGGGAATGTAGTAGTTAATGATTACAGAGACTGATGGTTCATGTGCCAAAGTCTGTCTTTTTGTTCATAAACTTTATTTCAAAAGCTTTTTCAAACATTAATTTAAACATTTTCAAAGTCACGGGTGTGTGCATAATTCAAGAAGTCAAATAGTACTAAAGTGCTTGTAAGGGGCTGGGCATGGTGGCTCACGCCTGTCATCCTAGCACTTTGGGAGGCCAAGGTGGGCGGATTGCCTGAGCTCAGGAGTTCGAGACCAGCCTGGGCAACATGGTGAAACCCTGTCTTTACTAAAAGACAAAAAATCAGCCAGGCATGGTGGTGGGCGCCTGTAATCCCAGCTACTCATGAGGTTGAGGCGGGATAATCACTTGAACCCGGGAGAGGGAGGTTGCAGTGAGCCAAGACTGCGCCACTGCATTTAGCCTAGGGAACAAAGCAAAACTCTATCTCAAAAATCAATAAAAATAAAATAAAATAGTGCTTGCAAGGAAAAATAGTATATGTTCCCCATCCCTTCCCAGTTCCCATGCCTGTTCCCCAGGAGCAACTACTTTTTGCTGTTCTGCAGATAGAAATTTATATTTTATCTTTCAGACAAATATGCTTATCTACACTGCTATTTCTCAATTAGTTCCTTTGGATTATCTATTATGGTAGTTGAGGATTCAGCTCTCTTATCATCCACCCCTCTACACATACTTCTTTCCCCCATCCATATCCACTCTTGAAATAGTTATCATGGTTTTGGGGCCTATACATATTCAGTCTTCATGTTGTTAAAATTATGGAAATAACATTTACTGCATAGTCAGACTGGTTGTATCATGATTATGTCTCTTTTTCAACTTTGTTCTATCTGGAGTTAATAACTACCTCCGATTTTTCTTTGGCATACTTTCCTTTGTACCATCTCTCACTCTCACTGTGCCCTCCCACGGCCTTTCAATGCAGTCATGCACCACATAAAGACATTTTGGTCAACAAAGGATCACATATATGACAGTGGTTCCATAAGATGATAATGGTGGTCAGGCGTGGTGGCTCATGCCTGTAATCCTAGCACTTTGGGAGCCTAAGGCGGGCGGATCACTTGAGGTCAGGAGTTCGAGACCACCCTGGCCAACCTGACGAAACCCTGTCTCTACTAAAAAAAAATTAGCTGGGCATAGTGGTACACACTTATAATCCCAGCTCCTTGGGAGGCTGAGGTAGGGCGATCACTTGAACCTAGGAGGTGGAGGTTACAGTGAATCGAGATCACGCCACTGCACTCCAGCCTGGGCAACAGAGTGAGACTCTGTCTCCAAAAAAAAAAAAAAAAGATGATAATGGAACTGAAAAATTCCTGTTGCCTGGAGTTGTCTTGATGATCCTGACCCTGTGCAGGCCTAGTCTGTTTGTTTGTGTCTTAGTTTTTAGCTAGTTTTAAGAGTTTAAATAGTTAAAAAAAAAAAAAAAAAAAAAGTTGAAAGTTTTAAAATAGAAAACTTATAGAATAAGGATATAAAGAAAAATATTTTTGTACAGCTGTACAGTGTGTTTGTGTTTTAAGCTAAGTATTACAAAAGAGTTTAAAATTTAAAATTTAAAATTTTATAAAGTAAAAAATATACAGTAAGCTAAGGTTCATTTTATTGAAGAAATTTTTTTTAAGAGGCAAGGTCTTGCTCTGTCACCCAGGCCTGGACTGTAGTGGGGCAATGTAGCTCACCGTAACCTCAAACTCTCGGGCTTAAGCGATCCTCCCACCTCTGCCTCCCTGAGTAACACACCACCACACCTGGCTAATTTTTAAAAAAAATAAATTTAGCGTGCTTAAATGTACAGTGTTTATAAAGTCTACAGTACTGTATAGTAATGACCTAGGCCTTCACATTCACCCACTACACACTCAGTGACTCACCACAGCAACTGCCAGTCCCGCAAGCTCCGTTCATGGTAAGTGCCCCATGCAGGTGGCCATTGTTTATCTTTTATGCCGTATTTTACTGAACTGTGTCTATACACAGATATACACAAACCGTTTACGTACACAAATATCTACCATTGTGTTATAGTTGCCTATATATTCAGTACAGTAACATACTACCCAGGCTTGTAGCCAAGGAGCAGTAGGCTCTACCTACCATGTAGCCTAGGTGTGTAGCAGGCTTGCCCATCTAGGTTTGTGTAAGGATGCTCTGTGCTGTTTCCACAATGATGAAATCACCTAATGATGCATTTCTCAGAACATATCCCTGTTGTTAAGTGACGCATGACTGTATTTTCAGTGCGCCTTTCAATCTGAAGATTTCTGTCTTTGAGTTGCTTTTTGTTTTCCTGAAATTTTCCTTTCTGGGGCCTACCTCCGAGTTCCAGGTCTTCCTTTTTCTTGGTGTATTTCATCATTTTGGTGGAACACCTCTTCTAGTAGCTTCCTGAAAAAGGGTAAATGAGAAGAAAGTTTTGAGTCTTTTTATGTCTGAAAAATTATAATTCTGCACTCAGCCTTAATTGACAGTTTGGCTGAGGAGAAAATTCTAGGTTGACAATCATTTTCCTTCAGATTTTTGAAGACCATTGCGCTATTTTCTTCTGGGTTCCAATATAGCTGTTGAAAAACCTGATGCCGTTTCATTCCTGATTCTTTGCGGTCTGTTTTCTTTCTTTGGAAATATTTAGGATCTTCTCTTTATCTGTGAAATTTGTTTCTGAAATTCCACAATGCTGTTTCTTTTAAAATTTATCATTTTGGATTCTTGATTACCCCTTTCAATCTAAAGACTCCTGTCTTCAGCTCTGGCAAAATTTTTAATTGCTTTCATCACTTTTTCTCATTCTGGAACTTCTGTTAGTCAAATAGTAGCCATCGTAGGCTGGCACATAGCTTTTCTCACCTTTTTTCTCTTCTATTCATCACTATGGGCCAGAAGCGAGGGTAGGGCCTGGGGGATAGAGCGGGTAGGAAGCTGGATGAGGTTCTTGTCTGCACCACCAGAAACCAGGCAGTGACACTGAAAGCACATGATACCATGGCAGAGCCGTGGAAGGGGTGACCCTCCCAGACTCGGGGTGTCTGGAAGAGATTTCTGCCCTGAGATGTGAGGGCTGACAGGGCTGGTGAAGAGCAGGTGGGAGTGGTCCAGGCAAGGAGGCCACACTCTCCTGGAGATCAAGGGAGCAAGACCCTACAGAAGGAGAGAATGGGCAAATATGCTAGACTGGAGCATGGTGATGGGAGTAGAGGGCAAATGCATGAGCAGAAGCAGCACCTTGGCCAGATGCTCCTGTGCAGGGCCCTGGGAGAGTGACAGACTTGCAGTACCTGCCCACACGGGGCCCATCTGAACGGGTGTGCACTGTGTGCTGAGTCATGGGCAGCCGTCAGCTGGGAGGGCAGGCTGCGATCTCCTCTTTCCTGAGCAGTGGGACTTCTCTCTGGCAGTGAGCACCTGAGAACCTGGCACCCCACCCTACTCAGGCCGAAGCAGTCCCCAGCCCCTTTCATGTTCTTCTCAGACCTGTGAGAGTTGGATCCTGCCTCTGTGGCCTCTGGACCATGTGTTTGCTCCTGGCCCAAGCTCTGCTCTGCCCCTTTCTTACTGAGGTTGGCCTCTTGGGACCCCTTCCAGCTCCCAGAGTGTGGGGAATGAAGCCATATTACCTCCTCTTTGCTCCCTTCAGTAGCTTAGAGCTGCCTGTCCTGTTTCCTGGGCCTCTTTTGTTTTCTGTCCTGAAAGCCCCCATGTGCCTCCAGGGAGCTGGGGAGGAGGGGAACTGGGTGGAGGGGCAGCTTGGCACTAACTGTGCTTCCCGATTCTGGCTCATGTTGGTGATGCCTGCAGTGTCCATCTGGTGGCTGGGTAGCACAGTGCTCTAGGTGTGAGCCTGCCACTATGGCCCCCTAGAGGCAGATCCTCCTCCCTCCTTTCCCCCAACCTCCTGGCTCCCCCTGCACCAGCTCTCACAAATGCTTCCCTCCCTCGGCTTCAGTCAGCCAATATACATCCTCCTCTGACCTCCGCAGACACAGGAGCAGAGGGGATAAGTGGTGACATGGCAGCTCAGGGCTTGGGGGGCTTGGCAATCCATAATTAACAGTGACTGTTCCTGCCCCAGGCTGACCCTGCTCATCTGAAGTGGCCCGGGTGGTTCTTGGTCTCAGTCTGGACAGTGTCCTCACTTGCATCTGGGCTCTGCACTTGCTCTGATGCCTTTGCAGGTGTGCGGGCCAGAAGCCTGCAACTGGGTCCCGAGGCCTGCAGGCCTGTCTTGGTGTTGTGGGCAGTGCTGATTAACTTGTGACACTCTCTTTTTTTACCCGTTTGTCATCTAACCTGACTTCCAGGTACAACACCTCACCAGTGGGTATGCGCAAATGTATTGATAGTTTGTTCACTTCTGATGGCCTTGGTTTGGTCTTCTGTTGTGGGTGGCTACTCTCTCCTC